CCTTATGGCGGGTAGTGAAATTTGTCTTTCTAGCCTAAGAAATCCAACTTCCTGAGCCCCATTTATCATAAAATTACTCCACAGGATGCAAAAAGTTACCATGAAACTTTTAGAAACAATGATTGTCTAACAAAGCACTCACAGGTTGATATTTTCCATTATAACGATCAATTTTAAAATCCGCCATAAGGGCCCTTTTGTCAATTATGGTCACAATTGATGCAAGAATAGTATAAATAAAAAGATTGCATCCTGATTATTGTGGCACCACGCAATACTCCAATATCATCCTTCTCATCATTATGAAACAGATCCTGACGTTGCCTATCATTCTCATATACTGCATTTCATCTATTGGTTTAATCGTCCTATTTCCTTTCAGACTGAGCATTTTTTCATCTTGATAACTGCCAACAGACAAGTTAGAGCGATTGTAGCAAGTACACTCTTGTAATAAATCGATGTTCTTTTCCCAGCAAGATAATTTCACAGTCCCTGTGCTGTCTGCTATAAGTACATCTTGTACCCTACAAGTAAATACAATCCTTGCTGGAGCAACACTGACCACCTTACATTTAACACTTACAAGTGATCCATCATCTACATCATGGATTTCTGCTAATTTATCTCCTTTGCAGGCAATGAAGGTATAAATATCTTTTTAGGACTGGGTTTTATGCTTGTGGATTTTCTTATAATGACCTCTAAAGAATTATCAAAAGAACTCCTTTTTACCTCGCAATTAGACAAAACAACAGGACTCTTACTTGCACTGACTTGTGCAAGTTGTTTTACGCTTTGCTCTTCAAAACCAGCAATCCTCAGCATGCCAGTTTCATCAGCAATCTTTCCGTAGTAGTAACTGTTTCCTGCATTGCTTTTTTTCAGTAGTAACTGTTTCCTGCATTGCTTTTTTTCAAAGGAGATAAGTAATCAATAGCAGCATGGATTATTGCACTAGTTTCTTTCTCTTTGATGTCGCAAATCTTTTCCAATAATAACCTCTTCTTTGACTGCGATTGAGACGTAATGTGAACTCAACCAGATCTCTGTTGTGCTGTCTATCATGGTGCATGCAGCATTTTTATAGAACTAGGTCTCTCTGTCTCTTGTTATAAGGTTTCAAGATTAATATTCACTGTACAATTATATGTCATTGTGTTTTTAAATTCCTATTATTGTTATTATTTTTATCAATAATGCCCTTCAGGGGCCCAGTGTTACTGCCCGCCTCTGCCTGCAACATGCATGGCTGCAACCATAGTATATCTCTGCTGTAATGCGCAACTTGCCTCAGGATATGTGGATCTATGACAGCTGACTTTGGAAGTGATTACTTTCCAAAAAGAGAGAATCTTGGGCTTAATGGCAACAGGTGATGATAGCATTGTCTCTGACACTGCTAGCCTTACTATTGATGATGATCTGCATCATGATGAAGGCGACTTGGGTGACAGTGACATAGTTGTAAGTTGCACATAGTGTTGACATGTATCATCATCATCTCTCATAAAGTGCCAATACCATGGCTGTTTGTTTAAAGCCAGAAAGACAATGCATAGATCTAGTAATGCGGTCAGGCTATGCTACGTTCATTTTTCAGCCCCGCACGTAAGTTGAATTACATGCATGCATGGCTTTTAAAACTACTTTGCTTATATAGAAAAAAGAAGGAAGGGGAGCAATAATAGTTAAAGGGACCCAATGTCCTATTTCAAACTGTAGAAAGAAAGAAAATCACATTTTTGCTGCATGCGTGCAAGGATGCTCAAAGTACATGACTCAGTTGATCTTATTTAAATTTGAGATTAGGAATGTTATTATTGAACTGATTACTGCCAATTCAACGAAAAAATGATGAACAGAACAAATCAAAATAAGGTTACATACAAAAATAATCAGCTTATGTTGATATCTTTTTTTGTTATAGTGTAGCTAAAACATGTCCTGACATCAAAATTATATGAAACAAAACATAGTACATATTGTCGTTGTGAGTAGACTACATGTATGATGTTAATAACTGCAACCTCTTTTATCTTTTGCAATAATGCAAAATAACAAAAGTGTTATCGTTCTAAGTGTACCTCTAAATAAAAAAAATCTTACCTTAAAATCATATTTATTAGTTACATTTTTGCTATGTACTTATTGCTGGTGGGGCAATTTTGAAATTTAAGGCACTTCTATTTTTTGTGGTAGAAACATTTTCTAGCTTAAAAAGATAAATAAGTAAAAATTGCATTGAGGGCCTATTTTCAAATCAAGTACTTTTAAATATCTTTATCCTAGCTCATTTTGTCTTGCATTATCTATTAGAAAACAAAGGTTAATATCACATCAATAATTTCAGTAGTACAATGTTAATGGAAGAGTTTGTGTGTTCACTTTTGCAAGTTGTTTTAACCTTTGAAGGACCTTAATGATTGCTGTGCATCTAATTTTGACTAGTTTGAAAGAATTAAAATATGCTAGTAGCTTTTTTGAGGTTTCTAATGGGATAAAAGAAATAAATAATTATTGAAGTTAAACTACTTACATTATACTGTCTATATACAATTACAATGGATTAAAAATTAAAATTAACTGGAGTGGCCATGAATTGAAGTACCATTGATTTAAAGTACATTTTAGTACTACAGCCAATAGACTTCGTACCATAATTGGACCAAAGGGTCCTGCACCAATTATAACTTGAGCACATAAAGGGTTCCAGGTGCTATTTAATCATCAAGCACCAAATGGAAACCATTGAGAATTCACTTGCAGTCACAAATGAAAATCTAGTTGAAAGAACAAAATACTGTCGTGATCACTGTAGTAAGTGTCAGACACTTCAACAAAAACACTTGAAAATACACCGTTCAGATACATGTGATTTAGTAGTGAGCCCCTTTCTGTTTTTGGACCGTTAACCAGCTGTGTAATATTATTAATAGACAAGACATTCGTTAATCTCCTGTCAAAATTTTGAGAACAAATCTATTATGAATGTGGGAAGGGCATGCAAATGATGATGCACAATTTATAGCAGCACTTACAACATTGAGTAAGCATCAATTGTACTGCTGGGGGGTCTGTAAATAAGAACAACTACTATATGAGAAGGATTAGGCAATTGCAGTTTAGTGCAAATTCATTCAATGTTGCCACTATTGTTTAAAACAGTGTGGCTAACTTTCATACTGGTATCAACACTAATGAGTGCTCCCCCTTTATTATTGTCTGACTGTCTATCACACCTCAATACTGTGTGCCCATTATTAAATATGTTAGGAGAATTGTAAATTTGACTTAGCCACATTTGAGTTAAACAAAAAATGCCAGCATACTTCATATTGCTATCGCATCTTATGTCATTAAGCTTTCCATTTATCGACCGTATATTGATTAAAGATATTGTAGTGTAATCTGAAGACAAGGAAACACACTGCAATTGAGGCAAAGGAGGTAACAAATTATTACTTAACCTCTCCATCTCTTCATCCACTGCATTCCTTTTTGCTATGGATGACACATTAAAATTTAGGATGTGCAATCCTTCAAAGATTTGACCCTTCTAAAAGCTACATATGCTTGTGCTGCAATAAACATGCCACCTTTCATGTCCACCACAATTTGCTCAAGTGTAAGGCCTTGGACCTTGTGATTTGTGGTGGCCCATGCTAAGGTAAGTGGAAACTGCAGGCGTGTAACGTCATTTCCACGCCAGCCTCTAAGCAAGAAAGTGGTTTCATGCTTATTCAATGGGACAGTATTAGGATGGACCATCCTAAATGGACTAGCTTGCATGGCTTTTAAGCCAGCATTTGCATTGTCAAAATGCACTAAAATTTTTTTGATTTTGCAGTTATCATTTGTGACAAAGTCTATGATTTTTGCCCTAGCGGCAATACAAGGACCATCAGAAACATCCACATTTACAGTGAGCATCACTTTGGCTCCAACAGCCAGTTTCAAAGTCAAGTGAAGATTGCCATTTTCTGATCTCTTTTCAGACATATCAGAAAGGACTACATGCTTTCCACCTGTAGTATCATAAGCTTTCATGATAAACTGCTGGTCATCAGATGCTAATTTATTAAGCATTATTTTATTGAGCTCATGAACATCTACATTTTGCTTACAGACATGCAAAGCATCATAGGATAGGTCAACGATTTAGGAGTGGTGATACGAGATTTTAATAAACCAAGGTTTTCATCAGTGCATTGGTTGATACAAAGATGGCAAAGTAATTTTGCAAATACAGTATCACCTCGCTGTGTCATCTGTGTCAACTCAAGCATTTTAACTCATCCTTCCACAAAGAGCCTGATCCATGCAATGAGGCTAGAGAGCCATCTCTAATTGTGGAGAATAAAGGAGACTGTAAGACAGGAGGTAACTGGTGTAGATCTCCAACAGCAAGGATGGAGACATCACCAAAAGTGAGTCTGATAAATTCTTTATTTGCTTAGCCTCATGTGTATTATAGAATAAAAATTAGCTCCTACAATACTCACCTCATCAATAATTAGGAGCTTCAGTTTGGACAGCCTTGTACTAGAGTATTGACTTTATCACTCTAAGCTGTTGGTAACATAATTGACCACAGCCAAGGACAAAGGCAGAGTGAAGAGTCATTCCGCCTATGTTAAAAGCAGCTACACCGGTTGGTGCTGTTGAGAAAACAGGCACATCAGTAGGTTCCATTTCACCAGAAAGTCTCAGAAGTTTCATGGTATCAGATTGAATAAGCCTTATAACATGAGACTTCTCAAAACCACCTGGTCCACTAAGAAACACGCTGTAAGGCTCAATGCGTGTATTGTTACGCAGAGCTACAACAGCTCTTTTGCACAAGTTGCGATTGTACATAGCCATTTCTCTCTACTTGGAATTGAGATTATGCATAAGACTCCTATATTCAAGAGGAGAAATCTGCTCTTTATTGCTCTCGCCCACGCCGTAGGCGTATAGGCGAGGGTACTGCACTCTTCGTGTCAGAGTGTGTGTGTGTGTGTTCGCAATATGGCGTCTATTTCTCTGTTTTCAAATCCTTGCTGCTCCTTGCTTAGGTCCTGTGGAGTCCCACTGTCAACTAAAATAATTTCCAAAAGTAGTTTTTCTTCAGTTTACTTCATAATCCTTCTTCTCCTTGGCAGCATGAGCCAGTAGTGTTGCTAAACGTAGTCAGGATTCCGGGCAAGTCTCTCATGACGAAGGTAATAATGCAATAGAACACACCAAACGATAGATTGAAAGTTCTTATTCATTTATTATGTAGGAAATTTGTCTTAAATTCTTAATTTCTGAGATATGGTAGCTCAAACATCGCTTACCTCGACTGTTTACACGAGGTCCTGTTCTCCAGGAAGAGCTTTCAGAGTCTTTTAAACTGTAGATTCTTACTATAAAGTTTTTGTAAAACAAATAGAGCCTAATTATTGTGTCTTAAACTGTGTATAAGTGTAGAAAACTGAAGCTTTTTTTTACCAGTAACTGCCTATTGGTGTAACTA